AAAAAAAAAAAAAAAAAAAAGTTTCGTTTTTCCCCCAGCTGTACCGAAATCATACCGAACCATGACATTAAAACCGAGGTACATACCGAACTGTCATATTTGTGTACCGTTACACCCCTAATTGGCAGTGAATGCAGATGGACATGTTCATCACATGCACATTACCTAGTGGACGCGGAGCATTTAAATAAATGAACATGATGGAATTTGTTAGTGTTTTAATGAATGTTGTTGTTTTAACTATAATACAAGTGTTTAAAAGTTTGTATTGCAGCTTTGCAGAGACCATTTGTTGACCTTGTTATTTTGGGTTATCGCTAGAGTTTTGGTTTTCTTTTCTTTCATTTGTCTGGGTATATTGTATAGTCCAGAATCTCTTAATGGGGGAGGTATCCACCAGTGGTAGCAATATTTTTGGTGTTGAGGTGTTTTTGGAAGCTAATACTTGTAACTACTTCCACACAGGCTTTACTCCTTTCAAACTTTATCTGGAATGTCACCGTTTCTGTCACTGCAACTTCCCGATCAGGCGAACCAACACACACACAAAATCATATGCCTCATTAAAAAAATGAAGTTAATATTTGCATCATTTATGATTTATTTTATCCACCCGCGACCCACCCGCAAATAATCAGAATGCATTTTTTATTACCCGACCCTTGGATATAGGAAAAGCATAATATGTTTGCTGCGTATATCAGACGGACTTACTGAAAATTCATGAACCCACACACACACACACACACACACAAATCATCTGCCTCATGAAAAAATTTATTTAAAAAAAATTTAGTTAATATTTGCATCATTTATGATTTATTTTATCCACCCGCGACCCACCCGCAAATAATCAGAATGCATTTTTTATTACCCGACCCTTGGATATAGGAAAAGCATAATATGTTTGCTGCGTATATCAGACGGACTTACTGAAAATTCATTCTCTGCCAGCAGGAGGTGCTTTAAAGCGGGAGAAACAGGTTTCCCCAGTAACGGCTGTACACAAAGCAGCGCTGAGCTCACAAACACTGCTTTATCAGGCATATGTAACGGCTGTACACAAAGCAGTGCTCCGCTCACAAACACTGCTTTATCAGACATTGCATGCAAGATGAAATGAAAATGACATTGAAAATTTTCTAAAGATAGTCTTCATTCAGAAATACAGTGATATAAAAACACCCGCACCTCGTTTTGATTTTCAAACGTGCAGTACGTGCTCATGTTTATTCAACGAAGCCTTTAGGAAAATCCATCAGTTTTGATATTGTGGAGAGCGCCACATAAATAAATGTATGGGAAACACATCCCACAGCACAACCACCTGAGCCCAACTTCAGTCTACTCATCACCTTAACTTTAACTGCGTAGCCGGCGCCATAGCCAGACTGACAAACAAACACAGACCGGAAGTTAACTTGGGGCCAGGCGCGTGCGCCCGATGAAACAGTCTATATAAAGCTTAAAGCAAAGATAGTCTTCATTCAGAAATACAGTGATATAAAAACACCCGCACCTCGTTTTGATTTTCAAACGTGCAGTACGTGCTCATGTTTATTCAACGAAGCCTTTAGGAAAATCCATCAGTTTTGATATTGTGGAGAGCGCCACATAAATAAATGTATGGGAAACACATCCCACAGCACAACCACCTGAGCCCAACTTCAGTCTACTCATCACCTTAACTTTAACTGCGTAGCCGGCGCCATAGCCAGACTGACAAACAAACACAGGCCGGAAGTTAACTTGGGGCCAGGTGCGTGCGCCCGATGAAACAGTCTATATAAAGCTTAAAGCATTAGAATCGGTATCGGCCGATCACCATGACAAGAAATCGGTACTCAGTATCGGCTGCAAAAATCCTGATCGGAGCATCCCTAATCGTTTTATATGAATTTTGTACTTGGTACAAGTACAACAAGGTTGGCCTCGAGTGTAGTCAACAATGTGCATAATAAGACCAGGTACATGTATTAAGGACTAAATAGGATCAAAATTCATTTTTTTAAGGCATACTTTTGGACAAACCCATTTGGAGCCTATTATTCATTTTTTAACCAATAACCGCTGAATTCTGATTACAGGATAAAACTTAATTTTCAGATTCTTCCAGAAAACAGATTTAGCCATATACTTACATTTTTCAACTTGATGTTGCCCCACTCGTCATCCTGGTGAACAAAAGTAAAATGCGTCAGACACCTGCAATAACAGAGGACAGCACATTCTAATGCTCTCGATTACGGTTCACATCCAGTACCTTCAGCGTTCCACCTTTCACCATGACTTTCTGTCTCTCTGGCTGAACCCCCGTTAGAGCGAAAAGCTGGGCTTTGAACACCATGGGTGGCTCCTCTGTATTCAGCTCCACCGAATCAAACTTCTCCTTCCCCCATTTCACATTCACTATCATATTCCAAAATCAAGAAGGCACATCAGTGACACCGCAAAATCATTCAGTAACACGTATCTGCACACAGAGAAAGACATATGTATAGTTTTATTAAACCAGGGGGATTCAAACCATCCCGGTCTCCACAGGACAGCTCATTTTAGCTGTCTGCATTGAATTAACTCATCAGTTCAGTACTGCATAACCTGAGCTGGGTGTGTCCAGTGGACTTTTTCACCAACAGTAATTTCCACAATTATCAACACGGTTATTAATTATTAACTTGTGGTGGCTTTAAACTAACTAGTTAACACTGCTGAGAGGGTGTTTCTAATACAAGGTCTGAAGGAGTGATGAAAAATTAGCTGTAATCAATCTTTCTGTTTTTTCTTTTGGAAAGTTGTGGCAACGTTATCTTAGATTTTTCTAATTTTGCAAATTGGAATACAAAAAACACATTTGCAGTAGTCTCTCATTCATCACGATACTAGTTGACCCATCTCTGACGAATTTTGCTTCTGAAAACACTGAAATGTGAAGAAAATAAATCCAAATAGTGTAGTACATCATGTGAGGCTCCACTGTTTGAAATCACCTGCTTTAAAAGGGACAGCTCACCCAAAAATGAAAATTCAGTAATCTTCCACTCACCTTCATGTCTTCATAAACAGTAAGATTGTTATTTCTGCTTGCTTGGGAAACAGATATTCCTAGCATAATGGCCTGAAACGGCACGCTTCAACACACGTGCATCATTAATAAATCATGTTGGATTGTACTGAAGTGTCAACAAAAACTCGCCAGCCAGAAAGAAAAGAAAAACACTTACATTTTGTGCTGCTCTTCATATTAAACTAACATACGGCTTCCGAAGACTTTAAACAGTGCACAGGTTGATTTCTTCTACAAGGCTTTTTCCCCATTTCTGCCCATTCTTTACAAATAAGCAACTTTAACATTCTGCAAATCATCTCCTTTCATGTTCTAAGAATGAAAGGAGGTAGTGGAATAAAATTAGGGTGAGTAAATAATGACAAAATTGACATTTTTGGGTGAACTATTCCTTTAAATGTTTGTTTGAAACCCTATTAACACAACTGGCCAATGCAGTCTACACAAAAGACAAACTAACCACATGAGAGACTTAGACTTTGGTCTACAAAAATGGCAGACAGAAATAAATACAGCTTTAACAGATCTATCACTGGAAATACATTAAAATGAACTAACTTAGTAAATGTTCCATGTAGCACGCTAGACACTACAAGGCATGATGCATCAAATTTAAAACCTACAAGATGTTCTATACTCAATTCTGCATAAATGTAGGCGTAAAGTCTGTATATACTGTATGTTCATTAATACTGTCTGTTGATTGAAAAGCGGTATTAGTTATAAATGCATTTTAATAAAGCGAGAGCCGCCTAGCCGGCTGCATCAAGTCTCAGCATTATATTTAACACCATAAACATCCATATAAAACAAACTAATCTCCTAAATAAAGGCACGCAGGAAAGCTTGCTATGGGATTTCTGCTTCTTGGTTAGCTTTCCTCTGTTTTAAAACAGAAACTATCACTTGAGGCCTGAAGCTAATGTCTAATGCTAACGGCGCTGCCTCCTCTCAAGCATCTCTTTTCGTTTAAAGACTAACTATGATTTATGTAAAACCATATCGTAAACAGACCTGTAAATACGGGCATCTTTCGGTTTACTTGTTCTGTATTCAGCTCAACTCCAAAGGCCGGGTTAAAGTTGGGGTGCGGAAGATTTGAGTGTCTTCTAACTTCACTCAACAGCAGCCCGCAATGACGCTGCAACTCGATGAGCTCGGCGCGCGACTAGTCAACTTAATGCGAAGTTACTATGACGAAGGTTTGGGTTATAAATATTAATAAGGCCTCCAATACGTTGCTCGATGAAGGCCTTATTCACGAATATTAATTACATAGCGTTGACTTTGCTTGGTTACCAGTGTTGGGGGTAACACATTACAAGTAACGCGAGTTACGTAATCAGATTACTTTTTTCAAGTAACTAGTAAAGTAACGCATTACTTTTTAATTTACAAGAGAATATCTGAGTAACTTTTTCAAATAAGTAACGCAAGTTACTTTTTTTCCAATTTACTGATTGACAGCTCTCCTCCCTGTTGAAAAAACAGCATATGCTGGTTAGGTATTGTTACGGGGCTGACGAGATGTGAGACGTGCGGATCCAAGTGCAAAGCTTTATTAATAGACATGGTAGAGACAGGCAAGGGTCAGACTATGGCAACAGGTATGTAGAAGGCAAGACACAAGAATATCTCCTAGGGCTAGCGGGGGTCTACGATCGGCAAACAGGATCAATAGGGTGAGACTAGAGGGATAAGTCCAGGTACAAGGCAAGGTCCAGGCAGGGGCAAACAGTATCAGAATAGGACAAGACGAGAGGGGGAATCCGAGATACACAGGCAAATATCAGGACAAGAGGAAACAGACAAGACAAGACTAAGCACAAATATCCTTTATGCATTTAATCCCATTCTATATGCTTCTGACCTTCGATGATCCAGTTCAACCGTACTAACAAGCAAAAATTACTCTAGACAAACATTTGTGTGTCTTTTTTTTTTTTGCTGAAGTGTGTTGAAATTTCTTCTTCTGCATTCTACTGTACAGACGTAAATTTACATTTCCTTCAGCCTGAGGCTTATTCATTTCACTTTTGGTGTGAAAAGACTTTTATATTTGCCAAAAATATAACTTTTTTTATTTTAAAAACAAACAAGCAAGCCCTGTCCAGATTCAAAAAGTAACGCAAAAGTAACGTAATGCATTACTTTCCAAAGAAAGTAACTAAGTAACGTAATTAGTTACTTTTTTTATGGAGTAACGCAATATTGTAATGCATTACTTTTAAAAGTAACTTTCCCCAACACTGTTGGTTACCTTCCAATGGCAAAGGCTTGGCAAATTAAAAAACAATCAATCCCATTTAATATGCTGCTTTGCCACTGGAGGGAGATAGTCAATAACCACTATGCGCCTAATTCAGAGCCAATCAATGTCAAGCTATAAATTAATCACATCATAAACTTGTGCAGTAATTCTACAGTAATACTGTGGTCGCTACCATCAATAATTCACACCCTGGACAGGTGGCTAGTCCATCACAGAGAATGAAATCAGTGTGTCAACTGCGAACATCATCTCACCTGACATTTACCTCAGGACAATCATTAGCTCCTTCATTAGCTAGAATTAACAATACAGAGAAACATATGATTTATATGCACTATAGACCTACAAGTTCGTGTTAACTTAATACCTGCTTAAAAATGATAACATATCATTTGAAAGCTAAGACTTGCCCTTTTCATTGACATTGAAAAATGTGTTTCTGTGTCAAAGCGACTCATTTTATTATTTTGGAAGACATATTCAAAGCCTCTGTGAAGTCTTTCAAATAGTTCAATTTGTTAGTTCATGAAAGCCTAATGTGCAATTCAAATGTTTGTAAACGATTTTGTTGGAGTGTTTATTATATCTGAATATATAGCAGTTGAATTAAACAGTTTGGCCTCTGTTGTTAATTTATCCTTTAATATTATAGCAATGTACTCTCACTGGGTACACTGCTAAAGGTTAAATAAATTATTAAGACATTTATGCATGCATGCATGTATGTATGTATTTTTCAATTGACTGTACAGCTCACAGCATTAGGTGACCTATTTTTTCTTAACATACATGAAATATTTTAAAATACATTAATATTGAAGCAAATCAATAGCTTGTGAAACAGAATCTAATCGAATTTGTGAAACGAGGTGCATCAGTCAAGGTCACCCAGCCCAGTCCTTTGACTAAACTCTAATTACCTCCACTTTAACGCTTCTCAGGAGAGCACACTTTTTTCAAGTTGCAGCCATCATTTCCCTCTGACAGAGACAAAACTGCTTACATTATCACACTTCTCTCTTGAAGAGCCCTGTCCTGGGCTACAGACGTCTGCAAGACCCGCAGCCCCTTCTGTTCCAGTTACTCCTCTTTTGTTGCGGAAATCAGATGGGTGTTTAACCATCCACTCAAAGGAGCTTTTGTCCATCCAGCAAGGCAAATGTAGTGTAGCGGGAGTATGCCATTCAGTTCTGCACCATCGCAGCAGCAAGTGGCTAGGATACAGATGCACACATTGTGTGTTTCCAGAACGGTCTTGCATAGGTCATGTGGAGGATGAGCTTGCCACCAAAGACCCAGTCACAAGGTCTTCATAGATGTGGCCATCTGCTTGGACAGAGATTGGATCCGTAAGTTTGTCCTCCCAACACCTATATACCCAGTGGTTCAAATCTCTCAAGAACACCTCAGCACATTTTTAGCTGAAAAGTACCAGGATTCCCCCTGCTGAACATGACAAGCACGTGAGGGAGCGGTGCTGCCTTTACTGTGGCTTATCTGGGCACTTTCATGTCGCCTGTTCCGAGCTTTTGGGAAAAGCCCTGGCCCCTGCAGTTACCCTAGCTGCTCTAATGGCTACCCTTCACTGATTCAATATTATTCCTTCAATCAATACCATTTTTTGCCGGCCTGGGTAGATTGATGTGTGGCTGGAAATTTCATGGGCTTTTCCCTAGACAAGAAGCTCAGTATTCCCTGTGAGTCCCTTCCTTCTCCCCTGGCTATTACTGCCCTGGACAGGTGACTTTTGGGCCATGGAGAGATTGTTGACTCACATCTATAGAGAAACCTAACATGTATAGTAAAGACAAACTCACCGTGTCTATCTATGAAGATGTACAGTGTATATATTTCAATTTCAGCAGGCAACTATTTTTACAGCTACATGAGAGTGAACTGGGTCAAAAAACTAAATAAGTTAAACATTCAATGTGATGGATATATTATTGGAAGATTAATGTATCATGTAATGGCCAAATAGTTATTTTAAAGTATATACCTCCTGTAAATTATGTAAGTTTACAGTGACATTACAGTACCTTTACATACAGTACATTTAAAGTAAGATGTGAATATTTTCTAGAAATAAAAATTCCAGAAACGGCTTTCTTTATTTGATTATTCTTTCTTACCAAGATCTTAAAAATTCCAGCCACTAACAATCTCCAAATTGGAGCATGTACTATGTCGATTCTAGCACCCAACATTACAATAAGATGATATTTTAAGCTCCTTATGGAGCCGAATCTGTGCTGGTTTGAATTGGCCGCCTCCAGTTTTCGCTTTTGCTTTGTCTTGCCTCCAGCTAGCGCTGTGACGTAATTGTGACATCAGCCCTAAAAGGGTCTATAGGGGAGTCCTGGCACTTAGAATATGTGGTGCTTACATTCGACCTGTCCAATGCCCCAGTGCTTGTGTGCTTAGAGACATAATAAATCTGTTTGTCTTTGAACCAGCTATTCGTGAAGGCAGAGAACTGTAACTTTCACGCCCAGCTGGTTCTGTTCTTGGGGTCCATCATCTTGGTAAAAGCCGTTTCTGACTGACCAGTTTCTGACTCGCACAAAGCCCTCCAACAATTACTGGGCTTTTCCAGTTTCTGTCGACACTTTATTCAAAATTACAGACAGGTGGTGACCTCTGTGACAGCATTAATCTCCACCAAGTCTCAGTTTGTAGTGCAGGTGATGTGTCAGAGGTAGGAGTTGGAGTGGTTCTTACCCAAATATCCCCTCATGCTAAAAAAGTTGCATCCGTGTGCTTATTATTCTCTGCATTTGTCCCCTGCAAAGCAGAACTGTGAAATCAGCAGCTGTGAGCTGATGGAGGTGCAGCTAGAGCCTGGAGGCTGGAGGGAGTGACTGTCCCATTCGTGTTGTGGACTGACCACAGGAGAATATACTAAACTGCTGAACTCCAGACAGACTCAGTGATCCTCACAGTAGTGGACCACTACTTCAGGGTGGTTCATATCATGCCCCTGCCCAAACTTCCCTATGCCAAGGTGATGACCCAGGAGATCTTGGACCACAGAGCAGCAGCAGCTGCAAGTGTTCTGAAAAATTGGCATAATACAGTTCAGAGCTCTTAGTTTCTAGAACTCTTAAAACTCTCATGGTTATTTTATAGTTTTACATCTATTACCAAAAACTAACCTTGCCAGAATATTGCAAGGAGTTTTTTTTTTGTGACAACCTAAAGGGAACCTATCTGCTTAAGTCATGACGTAAGGAACGCCTCCCCTCATTTCAATTGAGAATACTATCTCAACAGCCATTTATGAGCGCTGTTTATTCATATTACACATTTAAACTAAACATTACAATGTACACTACAGTCTCCATGTTCACAGTGTCCCAGACACTAATATTTTAACGATTTATAAAAAGATGAATCACTGTCTGACTATCTGGGATTTCGGTATGGTGATAAAAGATAGGATTATAATTTTTTTCAGTAATATTACATCACATTGTGAGTGTATATTAGCACTGTTTGTTGTTGTCTTGTGGCATGAGCATTTGGACCCGGAAGCTGAAAACAGCTAAGCTGGTTTTAGCTGCACTTCCAGCTTGGTCATAGCTGGTTTTAGAGAGATTTTGACCACTTCTTTAGCTGGTCAGGCTGGTCTTAGCTGGGCAGCTAAAACCAGCTGAAAATCAGCTTGGCCAGGCTGGGAGACCAGCTAAGACCAGTCAACCATCTTAGGCTGGTTTTAGGTATTTTTTTCAGCAGGGATATTTTTAGGCTTTATTTTTAAAGAACAGAAACTGTTTAATTTTGAATTTGATATGATTAAATGCAGTCCATTTTACATTGAACGCCCATTATCTGTGTCTTCAAGTACAACATGAACATGAAGGAAATATTATCAGTATCACATAATTTGAATACAGTAGACTAATGTCAATATGCACTGTTTATGGCATTTGTTAATCTTGGTTAATATGATTTAAACATGTATTATTATACTTTATTATATGATACATGTATTATTATACTTTATTATACTGGCCTCACCCTACACAACTCACAGATCAAATGCCTGCTGTATGCACACAACAAATAACGCATGCAGGGCAGAATTAGGCAAATATCCTCTAATCATAAAGAAACAATAAAGAGCAATTAAATTCTGGAAACATCTGAAACTCAGTGACCCCCAATCATTTCATTATAAAGCCCTGCAATACCAAGAGATGAGCAAAGAAAGCAACCCCCTCCCTCAGCTGATCCAGAGCTTCAGTCCTGATGCTTCACTAACATCTACTGCTGCTCTGAATCACAGCATCAGAATCAGTCAGATTACTGCACAAATCAAACAGAACTACATCACTCACTGGCAAACCCAAACACAACAGCAGAGTAAAGTGCAATGCTATTTGGCCCTAAAGAGAGAGTACAGTATGGCAGAGTATCTGTACACAGTGTCAGATAAGAAACTGAGAAGCACGTTGACCAGATACAGACTCAGCGGACACAAGCTGATGATAGGAGAGAGAGAGAGAGAGAGAGAGAGAGAGAGAGAGAGAGAGAGAGAGAGAGAGAGAGAGAGCGAGAGAGAGCTCTGCGCATGCGCAGTTGGAGCAGTTTTGAAGTTGACTCTGGGGTGTTTCAACAGGAAGGCGGACATGTTGGTCAGGCAGTGGGAGAAAATCGGGCACCCAGTATTTTTTTTCATTTGTATTTATTTTTTATTTTTTTAATAGTAGCAACGTTAAAGCTTGATTTATCCGCATACTCAGAGCATCGTGGATTACATACTTGTTGGAAAAGTAAAAGCCGGCATGCGGACTAAGAGAGATTTATCACAGCAGGATTTGTAAAGGATCGTTTTAACCAGGATCTTGTTTTAACTCATCGAAATTTGTAAGGCGAAGTTTTTTTTTCCGCCACTTCTCACTTTGCAGCTGTCAGACTCGTTTGGCCTGGCAAGCTTTTATGCTCAGAGGCCTGGAGAAACTTCACTTAATTTCATGTGGCCGCATGCTAACTCTGTTTTATCGCTTCTTTTCGCGTGAATGTGGTCGGCTTGTGTGTTTTAAAAGAGCCCATTCCCTTCATATCTCCTGAAGCTAAATTAGCTTAGCGCTGTATAATCTGTTGCTACTGCTTTTTGTGTTTGCTAAATTGTCATGGACTAATCCGACACCTCGTCCTGTTGTTGTTTTGTTTCGAAAATGTGGCTTTTTGTCATCTCTCGGTGTTGTGTACGATTCAACGAGAGTGATATTAAGACACAAAACGTTGCTTTGATCAAACTAGTGCTCATTGCTTTGTGAGGGCAGAGGAAGTTAGCGAGTTAATTAGCTGATCTTAGCCAGAAACTCGCACACGTCTGAATCAAATCGGTCTGATCAGTTATGAACATGTCTGCTGGAGAAAGTTTGACAGCTCGATTCGAGAAGATCGATGCCATGCTGAAGGATCCCAGATCAGAGATCAACACAGACTGTCTGCTGGTAAGTGCATGTGGTTTATTGTGCAGATATTGTTGTGTTTTGGAAACTGTGTACAATGAGGTCAGCAGCACAAACTAATATAAAACACGACAATCGAGCAGTAAAGTAAAATAGTGCAGTATACTCTGTATATCTGCAGAGCAGTAGAGGAATGAATGCATGCAAGCTTGTAATCAACTTGAGTACAAGTCACACTTTGTGAGTGTTGCTGGATTTAAACTTGAATAATTTGTCTAGGTTCTTACTGGTTTCTAGAGATTTGCTTGTAATGGTGACCCTTTTTTTATAATGCATTTGTACAATTAATTAATAATTACTAATTTTTAAAAAATCTTTCAATTTGCAGTACATTACAGCTTTATGTGTTTCTTGATAGTTCATTGCAGGGTTGAATCTACAACCTTTTGGTAACCAACAGGGTCTTTAACCACTAGGCCACACCACCCATGCTCAGATTTTTCAAGGAATGAACTTTTGATCTGCATTTGTACCGTGTGTTTACATGCAGTTTGCACTGAGGTGAAATGTGCAATTTGTGAAATTTATTTTATGAATTATTTCAGCAATTTCATACATTTGAGCATTGCTTCTTCAAGAATTTGAGCTCTTTGGACTTCCATGACTGTTGGCACACAGACTGTGTTATTTTTTTTTTTGAGCAGTTGTAGTGTTAAATCTCACTTTGCATTAAAAACATTCTCACTGAGAGCTTTAGTTTTTAATTGTGGCATCAGTGACACTTCTTGTAAAGTCTTTTTATGTAGTCTTCAGTCTCACAGGTTTTGACAGCATCTGTAATAAGTGCAGGTCACGGGATTTTGCAGTAATGCATTGAATTAGACAGTATTTATTTATGGATAGACATAGATATATATGTATGGCTACTACGACCATTCGTTCCCACTCTGCTAAAATCTACAAAAATTATTAATCTTAAAAATTATCTTTACATCTTTATTTACATTTACAAATTTTGCATACACTTTTGGCAACCTTTTTTCCTTAAAGTCTTAATGTCTTAACTTTTTTCCCTAATAAAAGGCCTTAAAAAGTCTTAAAATGTCTTAAATTCAGATTCGATATTTATAAATATTTTTGTTCACATTACCCCTAAAAAATAATAATATTTTTACTTGCCCGACCCGACAAATAGCCTGATTAAAACTTAAGCGATAAAAAAATGACCAGCGAAGCATCGAAACGCAAGAATGATTCTTCTAATTTTATTACATTCAGTGTAAACAGTGATTTATAATAGATAGTGTATTTCTGGTTTCAAGGTCGCACACGTAAAGAAACTCCGAAGAAACACACTGAGGTAAAACTTCAAAATGTATAGTTTATTTATAACATGATATAGTTAAGTATAATTAACATACCAAGTGAGCTATTTTGCTGAATATTCTCACGATTGCAAAATGTTACATTGATTTTAGTTCAATAAACAAGTAGTTAGTCAAGTAGCCTAGTTATTACGTTACTTACATTTTAGACACAATATTTACTAATAAAGATCACAGCAGAAGCATCGCACATTCTCCAAGCAACACTCGGCGGTGTTTTGTTACTGAATGATTCAGCGTTTTGAACAAATCAGTTGAATGAATGACTCACTTGAGTGACCTACCGCCACCTACTGGTAGTTTAGTATGTTAAGTATGCATTCCCCCCCCCCAACATTTCTTATTTGTATATTCATAAATGTATTTCAAATATTAATCTTATAACATTATTTACTGCAGTTGTAATTTTGCAGTGTAAATGACTTAATCTGACTGGTAACATCCCTATAGAATTTATTGATACACTGTAATAATTTTACATGAAAGGTGATGCACACATTTAAAAAGGTTTAAAAAACAGGCCTTTATAAAAGTAAATAAAAATATGCAGATTTAAATATGTAAAAGCTGATAGAACACTGATGAAAATATTGCTTCAGAATAAATTGTTTACACCACGAAAAATCTCGATGATACTGTACTTTTGTGGGGATATTTTGTATGGAATATTGCCTGCTGTTTTCATATCAGCAGACAATATTCACTGTATATCGTAGTAATAAATATAATTAATTACAGCGATGATATTTTGTTTTCTTTTTACATTAAACACATTAAATATTACATATATGCATGTAATATATAATGTGTATTTCCATTACAGGTTTAGGTCTTAATTTTCATACAATGTGGTATTAAAAAGTCTTAAATTTCACTTGTGTATATAAGCCCTGTTATCAGTTCATGCTGCTGTTGGAGCTACGGGAAGGCTATATATTGTTCTTTGCATATCTACAGTGTTTAATGTCAGAAACTATATCTTCTAGGAGAAGGGGATTGGTGTAGTAGTGATTGACGATGTGGGCATACTTCACGCTCAGAAAAAAAGGGTATAAAAGCTGGGGCACTGGGGCAGTACCCTTTCAAAAGGTACTAGTATGTAGCATTTAGGTTCCAGCATACACCATTTATGGGTAAATAAGGTACAAAGGTGTACCTTTTGAACAGGTAGCGCCCCAATGACAGCTTTGGTACCTTTTTTTCTGAGAGTATGTGAATATCCCAGTGTCCCACCTGTGTACACCTGCACTTTCATACCACTGATACCACCTGGACAGATCTGTGGACAAAAATTCTGTAAAGTCAAAAGAAAGGAAGAGATTTTAAAAAGTAGGGATTTTAAATCCAAATATCCTTGGTTTGATCGGAAAGAAAATAGGCTACTTATACATATTAAATAAGAGAAAACGCATCATGAAATCGCATAACAACATGTAAAAATATGTGATATGAAAATTTTGCATTTATATTGCAATTTCATTCATGAGATGTTATCAAAATAAAATATCAGCCTCAAAGGCTCAGTTAAACCAGGGGTGTGGGAACTGTCTGTAAAGTGTGGGAAATGCATTTTAAATACTCTCTTTAAAATTCATTACCATTTTAAATGTTTTTATTTTTCAAGATGCATACACATGGCATGTAATTTAAAGGCATAACAATTGAACCTCTAAGACACATCAACCTTTTTAAAAATTGTTCATATTAAAGTGAACTTAGAGATAATTAGTATGGGTTGCTGGTGGTGTTAGAGGTCATTTGTGTAGGCTAACAATAATGAGGTCCATGATTAAGAATGTAAAATGTTTTTTTCTTTTTTTTTTAATTTAACAACTCTTCCACTTTAGATCTAAAACTTTGTGAAATATGAAGAATTCAGCTACAAAGAGCACTGTGAGGGAATATTTTCCATTTACATGTGCAGTAGACTTATCATGGTATCATAATCTTCATCACTCTCATTATTTAGACCTGAAGAAATCACCGCCCCCAATTTGTGAACAAGCTGATTCTTCCCAATGAACCTGTTGAATTTGTTAACAGCTTGCACTGGCCGATTCATTCGTGAAATATAGCCCACTGATCTAGTGTTGTAAGTACCTGGACTTTGGTACCAAGTTGATGCTTACATTTTAAAAACGATACTGTTCTGCAGTACTACTAGTCAAAAATTCACTCATTCAGTGATGAGCTAAGATTTGTACTTTTACATGGGCATTTTTTTTTTCAATCTTATTAGACAGGGCTGGAACAATATGCTTCATGCTATCATTATACTAATCAGTATATACTGTGATTTTCTAACACTAGACTGAAAGTTGAATCATACAGATTGTTGATGTATAAGATGAGTCAGATTTACAAAAATAATTCATCACTTCTTTCTGAGTTTAATTTCAGGTGCAATCATACAGTACTGCACTACAAAATGATCATTTCAAAACCCTGCACTTCCCTGCATATAAAAAGTGGTAAAAACTGTACAATAGAATGAAAAAAATACTTAGTGAAATAAAATTAAGTGCTTTATTAAGCTGTTCCTGCTCATCAAGCTAGTGCCATAAGAAAACAATAAAATAAGCAATATTACCACAATATTTCGCATACTACAAAGGTTTACATATCGATTTAGACTTATCTAGCTTTGCATTTCCTGCTAATAGCAATGCGCCAAAATTATTTACTTATTATTTATTTACAAAAAGGTTAATTAATAATCAATACTCAAATAAAACTGGCTCCTCTGTAGAGTTATGTTTTCAAGCTAACTACAGAGCTATGAACATTGAATTGCTTTCGTGAGGTAAATGTGACGTTATTTGACATATGTTTTTTTTTTTTATTGACGTTTTTCCACAGTTGAAGTACTGATTGCCCTATTCCATGATACATAATTTTTGTATTATATTGCATACAAGTTGTACTGTATCTTTCAGCATACCTTCTGGTGTTCAGTCATGTTTATTTTTGTGCTATATCTAGTAGTAAATAGGAAGAGATGATCAGTTCATGTGCCACATGAACTGAGGTGGATACAGCAATCTGTCATGCCACATTGCCATACCACAAAGGGCATCAAAACCACATTTACTGTTTGAGAGAAGGTAGAGATAATAAAACAGGATCACTTGAAATAAAACAAATAGGCCTAGATGTTGATGTCTGCTGGGTTTTTCCAAATGTTGCTTCCTGCATGGATGTTGTGTCATTAACTACATTTTTAAAAACATTTACTTTCCACTTGGATTGTCAGGTTTTATTTATTTATTTATTTTTTGCTGAAGATACACTAGATAGAAATATGAGAGAAATTTGCTCCCTGGTCTCATTGTTTTAGTGCAATGAGCCATATTAACTGTTTTAATGTGTGGCAGAATGTGTCAGTCTTAAAACACTGATAAATCATTTCAAATGCATACCATACCATTTTCACAGACAAAACAACAAGAAAGAAAATCTTTTTGAGGCATGAAATGGAACAGTCTTCACATGACTCTTTATGTGCACTGCATGAGTTTGTGTGTGCATGAGAGAGACAATGTGCAATAACTTACAGCTGTAATACCAACTAATCTTGAGCAAATATTGCACCTCTGGCAAACCATGTGATCAGGATACTATTAAAACTATTCAGTTTAATTTGTTATATATCTCGAT